ATACGTGCCATTTTCCCAGGACGCGTCCTGGCCAGGATTTCTATATTGCATGCAATGATACATGCAAACAAAGCCAAAACCTAGATATTTTAGGCAATATAGAAATCCTGACCAGGACGCATCCTGGGAAAATGGCACGTATGGTCACCCTATTTTAAACACACCCCTCGAACCGTTAGTTTGACATGAGTGAGAGACAGAGAGGAGGAGCGCCAAAATAAAACCATGGCCTCTATTCAATATTCCGTTTCAGAAGGAAATACGTCACTACACTGAAATAAAGTCAGCAGCAACTTCCGGCTGTTTGCGGTGCGCCCTCTATTGTACATATGTGAATTTACATTTACTTCAGCCTGGGGCTTATTTATTTCACTTTTAGTGTGAAAGGGCTTTCACATTTGCCAAAAATAGACATTTTTTTAATAAAAACAAACAAGCAAGCCCAGCCCAGCCCAGATGAGAAAAAGTAACGCAAAAGTAAAGTAATGCATTTCTTTCCATAAAAAGTAACTAAGTTATGCAATTAGGGTTAGGACCGAATCTTACTGTACTGTGCTGTACCGTACCGCTCAGGCGGAAACGAGACTTTAGGGAGCAACACAATATTGTAATGCATTACTTTTAAAAGTAACTTTCCCCAACACTGTCTATAACATAAATACAACAATAATTTCATTGTATGTCATGTATCCCGAAGAAAGCATTTAAAGTTAGTACACCTTATGTAGATTGACAACGAGGTACATTGTTGAGTCTTGAAAATGTAGTCGTAGTTGAAAATAGCCAAAAACATCAGGCAGAACATAAGACAGAGAATCATAATGAGCTTGTCTTGGAAAGCAGCTGAAAAGAACAATCATACATATACAGATTATAGCTTGGCTCAAGAAAATCCAAATATAAAAGTGATTCCCAGAACTGCTGCAACTGATTATACTGCATACCAGCTTGTTTTGTTTAGTGAAATTATCGGTACAACTGGAGGTACAAATCCAACAGAGAGAGTAATGTTCCTACATCACGCAATGTATGACTGCTTCATTCATTCAAAATTAAGCTTAAAAAGACAACAACTGAATCAAATTCAACATAAAGCTGTAAAAACAAAGTTCACCTCAGTGACGGTTTATCTACAACATTGTACATAGAAATGTTTTTTACTGGTTGTCTTAAATAAAGAATAAATGTACAAATACAAGTCATCCTTTTGGTACGTGTCAGCACTGATTGCTGTGAAAGAACATTTAAACATGTTTCTCCAAATGTTTTCATTTAGTGATGCAGTGGATGTAATTCTTCTAGGCACAAAATGCATGCAAAGTAAATTGATGTCAGTCTTCATTCTCTTCAATTAAAAAAACAAAAACACACACATCAGCAAGACTTCAACAATCATTTATTTCTTGTCTTAAATCTCAAAATTAAGCTTAAAAAGACAACAACTGAATCAAATTCAACATAAAGCTGTAAAAACAAAGTTCACCTCAGTGACGGTTTATCTACAACATTGTACATAGAAATGTTTTTTACTGGTTGTCTTAAATAAAGGTCTATCACTGCTCAGCAATCAAATGACTCATACAGGCATATAAAAACACACTGAGTTACAGAGCTGGATTCAGTTGTGTCATTAGGTCTAGGGGTGCAAATAATAAGACATAATAATGACTTACTTCCAAAAGGGCTGGAGGAGGGAATGCTGGGAGATATCTGTACATCGTCTGCTGAGATTCTGCAGTATTCACATCTGGGATCTCCCTGAAAATACATTGTCCACTTTAAAATATACAGTATATATTTATAAATATAAACATATTGAAAACTTTTGAACAAGATGATGATGTCCAAATATTTCTTATTTTGTTGAAATATATATATATTTTTCCATTTAGTACTGCCCCTCGGAAGCAACAGAAGATACTTGCATGTTTCCCGGAAGACAAATTAAGTACAATTTACCTTGATCTTCAAATTCAAAAAGTTTTTGCTCTTAATGCATTGTGTTTCCTTCTGGAGCATCAGTAAATGTTTGAACCTTTTTTAATAGTTGTGTTTGAGTCCCTCAGTTGTCAATCCTCAAGATGGATCTCAAAATCATACAGTCACTGCTGGAAAGGGTTCAAATATGCAAAAGATGCTGGAAAACTGAAGAATCTGCAGGACATGGAGGATTTCTCTGAAGAACAGTGCTTAGTTTAACTGTTCAGAACAAACAAGGGACTCATGAGTAACCATCATAAAACCAAAAAACCGTCGTGGATCATCCAGGTGACCACACACAGTATTAAGAACCAAGGGTCTTACTCAGGACAGTACTAAATAAAATATAACATGCATTTTGTATGATCTCTCTTATTTTGTTAAAATTATTCAAATTTTCACAGATTCTGCAAGGGGTTCCCAAACTTTCACATGCCACTGTATGTATGTATGTATGTATGTATGTATATATATATATATATATATATAAATTAATAATTAATATATTGACCCCCATTGTACAAAAGGCCAGATTTCTTGCTTCCAACTTTTTACTTCAATTCTTATGCTGATAATATAATTAGCAATATAAAAAAATAGTGGACTTTGCTGTATGTCTTTGTAAGTGCTTAAACATGCAAATAATATGATTCATGCTATAATCATCAAACTAAATAAGGCTGAAAGATATTATAAAAAACCCTCATGCAAGTGATCTTCATGTTCTGAAGAAACCTGAAAAACCAGGTACAGAAGATGGGCTTATAAATCTTCAAGAAGCATGACAGCGAAAAAATGAGCAAACGGAAAGCTACAGACACAGATAAAGATAATGAAATGAGTTCAAATGCTTTCAATCTGTGAGAACAACTGTTAGGAGTAAAAGTAAAAATTGCGCAGTGAATAGGAAAAAAGTGTTACACGTACTATACATTATATATACACACATTTTATATTTTTACAAAATCACATTTACAAAAGTGATTTTATAGGCATATTAAAGGCAAGTGTCTACTTTGATGTTTTAAGTAAATTTTGTGAAAATAAAATGTCAAAAAATGGGTGAAATAATGTTCCATCGTTATTCAGTGTAATAGATATATCTTATTGAAAAAATGAAACGGCATACTTATTCTGATATTCTAATGTATGAAAACAAATGTAAAGGTGTATTCAACTTATTATGCAAAAAAAAACTACTAAAATATATAAATAATACAGTGGGGCAAAAAAGTATTTAGTCAGCCACCAATTGTGCAACATATTCACTGGATTCTCATTGGGGAATTTTGAGCCCCAACTTTTATTTATATTTTTTCTTGTGTACTACAAAATGTTTTGTATTTTCATTATATTGCCTTGAGAATCTAACATTAATGCTTTGCAGAACAGATAAAAACAGCACCAGATTCCTTAAATTTTGATACAGTAAGCTGGAAGTCAAAACATGAAGTCTTACCCGGCGGATGCACTCAAGCGTGCAGTTCTGAGGTCTGTAAGACATTTGTTCACCATGGGCACTGAGGGACAAGCTGACCACCAGAAGCAGATGCAGGATCAGCGTGGGTGGCCACATCCCGCTCCCTTCTCCTGCTTGAAGAACCCTGAAAACGGTTTTCAATCCCCAGCACAGCTACGTCCTCAAAGCAGATAAGCTGTCTTAAGTCTCGTGAAGAACTAAAGATCAGTTGAGTAAAAGCGGAAGGGGTGGAATGGGAGGAGGTAGGCAAAGGGTTGGAAACAACAGCAGCTGAGGGTGTGGTGGCCTGGGGGAAAATAGTAGAGCTGCAGAGGCTGTCAAAATCCATCCACTGTGCCACCAGGTATGCTTAACCTGATTTACTGTTTTGAAGCTGTTTTTTTGGCTTTAAACTCAACAGTGCAAATGGAATAATGACCATAATAACTCACACCAGCACATATTCCTGCAGAACTAACCAGCCAATGGCCAAAAACAACATTATGCATCTGTGTAAATAATATTGGTGTTCCCCGAACTGCGATTACACGAAACGCACCAAGACAGATTGATAGTCTATGGTTTGACATGGCTTGCACAACCTCGCATTTGATTTTCAACAATGGTGGTTTTATTCCGGGAAACTACAAATCTTTCAATACCTGAACAACAACAATCTTCAAAAAGTGCTGGTAGTAGCAATGGAGCAATTATGAAATGATTCAACGGGAAAACTTGCAAAGGTACATAAATGAGGAATTTATTTTTGAATAAGATTCAAGAGATAACTGAAACAGTCATGACAATCAAGGAGAACATGTCAGGTTAGTTCTGTGTAAGATCTGACTACGAGCGTATGAGAGAATGTTTACAATCTTCATACAATGAAAACGTGGGTCCAAACAGTTATAGATACTCAAAAATGCTACGCAAGATGAAGCATTTTGCTGCCTGGTATCAATAAAACCAACAATACAGCAAGATGGTTCCGGAACTCTTGTAGATTTAGCATCTCACCGAATCTGAAAAGCAATGCAAAATTAGTATGTTAACATGCTATGAATCCAACCAAAGCATTTTTTTAAAACCCCAGTAGACCCATAACATTGCCATGATTTATTTGTACTCTGCCGACATCTTGTTTTCATCTATCAAAAACCTTTTTAGCTAGTCCTGGAACACATCGGTTTTTGGTTTTGGTTAGGACCATGTCACGATTACACATGCCACGTTCACAAAGCTTCTTTCATATGGTTCTGCTACTGAACATAAAGCTGCACTCAACTTTGGAGACTTGTATTCAATCCAGACATGTAAAATGGCAATTTCAGTGTCAAGACAGCTCAGGTCTTTAATGCAAATGCAAAAAACAATGACTGGCCTGCAAATACTCACAGTGTATTTGTCCCATTTCTTTTCGGGATCGTATGGCTCCCAGCGGCTGGCAGGGAAGATGTGTTTGTTTTTCTCATACCAGCTCCTCAGCACCACTTTTCCCGCATGAGACTAGATAAATGAAGAGACACAAAGACCTTTGAATTTAGCCAAGCCTATATATAATGTGGCTGGCTTCTATGCAACGCCAAGAAACACTGTGTTTACAAGTTCCCAGGTAGAAACAATGAGGAAAAACATGTCGTTGATTGTGCAAGGCTTGTGACATTAAATGTTTGAAAGACTTTGAGCTGTTCAAGACAATTAATAATGTAAAAACAACATATCCTGGAGCACAAATGCTAATTTGCAACAAGAACTATCCAATTTCACATTCACCTGCCCCAAAACATAAAAAAACATGTAGGTCTCACCCTGTCAAATTTGAGTGGTTCTTGCCCAATATGTGGATCAGACATTATGCTGATAGTCAACCTTACCTCATCTTTCTCAACTGTGGCATCGTTCACCAGCCGAATGTCATCATGCACATCAAAACTGAAAAGAGGCCCTGAGGAGAAAGAGGAAAGGCCTTAATTCAGTGCCATAAACAGAGAAACAACACAGAAAATAGCAGGCTAATATTAAATTTAATAGCTATTTTCCGAAATAAAACAAGCCACATGGGAGCCTGTCAAACTAAATGTGGTGGATAAAGTAGGAACTTACCACTTTTGCCTCTTGCTTTTGTGACAATGAAATCATAGAAACTGTGGTGCTGCAAGAAAAGCGGGTTTTTAGTCACTGAAAGATGTGTTTTGACAGGACAAATGAACTATAATCTGTGATTTACTACCGCCTTTCTTTCTAATCAGGGAAACGCTTACTAAAATGCCCTTAAAACATTGTAAAGCAGTTTACGTTGTAAAATGTGTACATGTGCTTGTCACAAATTCTGACATTTATGCGAGTTATAAACACTGACACATCTTGCAATGATTTAAGATTACATAAGAGAAGATTTAGAAGAATAAACATTTACACAAGCACTGGAAGTTTTGATCCTTTTAAAGCATTAGTTTGGTTGTGGAAACTTTACTCACATGTGGAATTATCAAATCCTCTTTAATGTACATGAGATGCTCCACACCTGCTGATCTGAAGGACACAAATAGACTTTGATATTAACTATATATATAACCAAATTAGACTGAGCATACATTCAATATTTACTCACTGAGTTAGACTGCATTTTAACTGGAGCATGACTCTCTTTAATGCATTTACACAAAGGCAGATTATCACTGATGTTCTGAAGAAAACCAAAACTAACAAATTTATGTAAACTAATGCTGGGCGGTATGACCAAAAATTTATATCACGGTATTTTCCCAAATTATACCGGTTTCACGGTACATGACGGTATTTTTTTTTCATGCATGACCGGGTGTTAACCATATTTTCTACTAATTGAGAGAGGAAATACTGCAACATATTGACTTAGAATGTCCTATTTTACTGTCATAATGAGTGAATATTGTCAAAAAATACCACAGTGAAAAGGGACCCCTTTCAAACAGTGTCGAGTTCCGAACGTTGTTTAAGCGACATACCGGTATTGCGGTATTTAAAAAATTCATATCATAACAAAAATAAACACCGGTATTCGGTATGAACCGGTATACCTCCCAGCACTAATGTAAACCTTCATAAATTTAAAATAAATAATATTCTGATTAGCCTGAATGTCTCTTTTTTTCTTGAATTTATTTGCAACATTTGATTAACACAGAATCTACGCCTAAAACCTGAGCTTACCTACACTATTCTTAAGGACTTTCAAAGCAATTTTACACAGCTGAAAGATTTTAAGAAACTCTAAAACTGTCAACTATAGCTGGACTAATTCTTGTGTACTTAAAAGCGTTTTAATAGCAGGAGGCAAGGAATGTGTTTACCTCAGCTCACTGAAGTCTTTTCTCAAAACTTCCAGGGCCCTCTGGAGAAACTGCTGAATTGTGTTGCCTTTCTTCATCTACACAAACACATACACAAATGTATATTAAACTGAATGGAGCACAATTTTATAATACAGAACATGCATTAGAACATGTTTGTCCAATTTGCACATGCAACATAGTAGCAACAATGTATCAAATTTTTGATTACATGTAGTACAAAATTGGATAACCTGCATTTACCTTGACAGTTTTGCGATGCCCTGAGCCATCCCAGTAGCTGAAAGTGATTTCAATTTCTTCACCTAAAATGAGCCAAAGAACAGGTTTGTCGTATGCTGCTTTTGGCTGGTGGTTGCATGAGGATTTATGACTAGACAAGTCAAAAATTAGGAGTAAGTCTATAGATTTAACCGCACCTTTGGCCAGGTTCAGAAATATTAAACAAAAGATAATTTACATAACGGCACTTTATGATCTTCATATCTTACTTTTGATCTTCTCTTGTTTTCTTTCCCACTCCTGCCTGAGTTCTTCTCTTAATCGATTTTCTTCTTCCTGAAACATTTTACACACAGTTACATACATAAAACATCTTATTCATAAGCTTTTAAATATGTTTTCCCAAAATCAACTGTATTTTTCAAATGCTTATAGCTACTAAATGCAACTTTCACCAATTTTTAGTAGTTCACGAGTATACAGTCATGGACTACAAGCAACAAAACTTGTGGGGGCTTTAAAACTAAAGACTCTTAAAATGTTTAAAGAAAAAAACTCTACAGCATCTGTGGCATGATGTGATTACAACATAATTTCATTTGTATATTTTAGGCAGTTGATAGAATATCAAAAAAGCTAATATATGCTGAAAAAAATAATAATAAAAAATATATATACAT